TGAACGTTTTATTTTTTATAAATTCAGTTATTATTTTGTCTTGTGGAGTATATATAAACATCCGTTATGTGAAATTCAAGACAGAGCTAAATAAAAAAATAACGTGATTTTCATGATCCGTTTTATTTTGTATATATATATAAATATACATATATTTTGATCTGTATATATTTTGTGATTATGTCACATCATAACGGCTGCCGACCTTTGGTTCGGACACTAATGCAGGCAAAATTATTGCTGTGTAACTACAGCAGCAGATTATGGGATGTTCGTCCTCAGTGACTCTCTCTCTGTGTGTGTGTGTGTGTGTGTGTGTGTGTGTGTGTGTGTGTGTGTGGGTGTGTGTGTGTGTGTGACCGATGTGTGCCAGATGTTTGGCTCTCAGAGCTTCTAATACTCACTCTGCTTTAATCTCAAAGCAGCATTAACACATTCAATCAACAGAGACCTGATCACAACGACAGCTTCCTGGAATTATCTCTCTCTCTCTAAAGAGATAATCATCATTAATGCAAATGCCTCCAATCCCTCTCCCGCTGTGTGCGGAATGAGATTGGAAATTAAAATGATCAACCGTTTCAGTCTTTATTTAGCAGAGCTGTAGTTGCTGTTTTAAACGAGTGCTTATATTTCTCAAATTCATTAAGGATATTTTTAAACGTGCTCTGTTTCGAAACCTAGTGAGCTGTCTGTGTAGGCGACTTTTTAAGGCATTAGTTGCAAAGGCTGTTCAAAAATTCTGAGTCAGCATTGCACACCATTGCATGCTTAATAGAAAAGTTTTTTTTTTTTTTTTTTTTTTTAATTTTTAGAAAGAAAGAAATACTTACATTCAGCAAAGGTGCTGTAAAATTATCAAAAGTCACAGTAAAGGTGTATAATAACAGTAAAGGTTTATAATGGTACAAAATATATATATTTCAAATAAATGTCAAAAACAGGTCTTTTAAATATTTGTATATATTCAAATTATTTAATTTATATATTTTTTTACAATAAATTAAATA